TCTCCGTCTCTTAACCCCTTAACTGTCACCATCCCTTATACGGGAGATCTAACTTTACTTCGCTATATTACTATTAAATCTAATTATGACAAACTATATATCGTTGGAAAGGTCTAACACTGCTTAATAGATATTTGACTGCTGTTTTTTGCTACAAATTATGTCGGAAGAGTAACCGATGATTTTTTGACAAGAGTGCACCTCAAAAACATCTGCATCATAACAGGAGTTCTGACCTTTGTCACAAAAAGTTGACGGACACACCTTTAATAATTGAAACTTTGGTTTTCATGCTAAAAGTTAATAATAAAACATATAATCTAGTATTTTTGAATAAAAAATTATAATATAATAGTATCCTCTAAAAAGTATAATATGTATATTATCCTCTAAAATATAATATGATCTTTTTTATCGCCTTTTTTATTATATCACATATTTTAGTAGTTATCATAAATTAGGTATCATTTGAAAGCTTACAAACTCAGAATTCATCCTGTGAAAACCGTTTTGAAATTGAACGTTGCGTTACCATAGAAACGGTACTCTAAAATATTTTATCAGGCTCCTCCCCTTTTGGGCATCATTATATTTCACAATTTATGATCAAAACCTTTTCTAATCTTGACAAAACACATATTGTCGGAAAGGTCTGAGTCTCAAGGTTCCAAATTTTGTGACAGAATTGATATTTGGACAGAAATTTATTAATTTGTTAAGGCAGAATGTATACAGTACAACTAAATTCAATGGAATGTATGTCACCCGGTGGCTATTTTTGGTACTACGCCTAAACAAAATCTCATGGGAACTTCAATTTTTGTGATATCAACTTCAAATTTGGAACATAACTTGGTTAGATATATGGCTTTGATTTTTGAATATTATATTGTATATTATTTTGTATAGTACAGTATATTTGATTTACTGTAAATTTAAACTTCCATAACTTTTTCATACTTTCATTTTTTAAGTGTTCAATAATCTGCTGAGTGTTTCCTTTAAAACAAGACCGAATTTAGGTATATATTCCAAAGCATTCTTGAATTACAACCATTTAAGTTTGAATAGTGCATTTTAACCCCCATTCTCAAAAAGGGGGGTGACAGCTAAGGGGTTAAACCAAAGTCATGTGAATGGGGGAAATACAATAACCAATTGTATCATATAATTTCTGATCGAATATGTTGCTTCACAACATTACAGAAGTTAAATGCGTGAAGCTGTTTTTCCTAGAACTGTGAATAAAACTTTATGACTTTATGACCCATTTGGACACTCACAAGTCATAACAACCATTACTGGATCTTCGTACTGTGAAAATGAAAGTGGGTCTTTTAAATTAACAATTAATGCCATAACTTATGTTACTGATC